CGTGCCGCGTCGCGGTGCCATCGCCGCAAGCAAAACATATGTGTTGCTTCTTGCCGCGTCGTGGCGCCAATTGTGTTTTATGAGAATTCTAGTGATGCTCTCTGCCGCTGCGCGACCCTGCAAACTCTCTGTGGCAACCCAGACTTGTAGATTTCTTGTGCTCAGAATCCTGGAATGTCTAACTCCCTGTACGGTGAATGCACCAAACAAGAAAGTGGCCTGCCAACAGGTGCCCCACAGGAATGTCTGAATCTCCCAGTAGGTCCGCAGAGCCCCGGGGTACCTTACCGAAGTTCAGAGTCGACGAAGGACGTACCCCTGCAGTCGGGGCGCTGAAGAAGGAACCCTTTTCGTTGGGGAGGGGCTCCGTGCTCTCTAATTGTTTCACAGTTTGCCTTCGGTGTTCCTGAGGTTTTCCCTGGGAAGTTGGGGAAGAAGGGGCCTCTTGCCTTGTTTAGGGTTCCTTCGGTCAGCGCCCCGACTGCAATTTCTGTTGAGCAAGATTTCTCATCGTGTGCGCCTGCTGCAGGCCCGCAGGCCACTCGTCGGCTGCGAGACCAGCATTCCTTGGCCAAACATTCCCCAGCTGACAGTGGAGTCATAAACCCGAGGACGACGCCTCGGACTGCAGGGCCGAGAAAGATCACAAAGAGGATCCCGAGCCTCCGAAACGAAGAGGTCGACCTTCCATCCTGGTTACTTTCCTTCCCACTCAGAGCAGCCTGCCTGGACTCGTCTGCGACCATTTGCGAACCCTACCCCTGCGTGTCCAATCGACCCTGTGGTATCGCCGCCCCCTCTGGGACTCACCTGGCTGCAGACACCCTCCGAGTTCTGCACCCCATAGACCCTGGGGGTTTGGGCGCAACGGAGAGCAATTGGTTTGAATTTGCAGCTGAGAGTTCTGTTTGGGACAAGTTGGAAGCAGAATACGTGATGATGTGATCTGTTCGACACGCTCTTCATCTGAGCGCTGCGGCGCTTTCCACCCACTCCGACCAGGAGCGCGCTCCGGCGCGATGCGGGTGTTTCGTTCGTTCGTTCATAGACCCTGGGGGGAGGTTTCACATGTGGCCGCCCAGCTCGCAAGGCCTCCGAGAGATCTTCGGAGCCTCCCGGGAGGGTCGGCGTCCCGGAGGGCACGGACCCGGCGCCGCCCCTCGGCGGGGGCTGCTGCAGGGGTGCTCCTGGCCCAGGGTGCCCCCCAGCTTTTCGCTCTGTTCGGGAGCCCCTCCTCCTCCTCCTCCTCCTCCCCCCCTCCTCCTCCTCCTCCTCCTCCTCCTCCTCCTCCTCCTCCTCCTCCTCCTCCTCCTCCTCCTCCTCCTCCTCTCGCTGGGCCCCGTGAGTGGCCCGGGTTCTCTGGAGGCCGTGGGGGGCCTCTTTGCAAATTTTGGGGGCACCTTGGGCCAGGGGCACTTCTACAGGTCCGATCGCAAGTGACACGACGCCGCCGGGTGGCTTCTGACGACGCGTCATGGTTGAGCGGCCTCTAACACGAACTGGAGAGGCGCGTTTGGGCACTCCTTGTTGGGCGGCCCCTTTTCAAAAGTGACGGGCGCGCTGAGCTCTTGGCTGGATGCCTCCCCGCCCGTGCACCTCGATGCGCTGGCTTCAATTTTGGATGGCGGGGGCAAGCTCCCCGCGATGCGACTTCATTTTTGCCTCGTTCACTTGTGGGGTCCCAAACCCAGATAGCAGATAGTAAGGCGCCCGAAGGACGTGGAAAGACTTTCCGAAGGACTCTGGAAGGACCTAGAGAGAGCTTCCGAAGGACCTTCTTGAGACGCGACTTCAATTTTGTCTTGTTCCTTGCGACCGGACTTCCAGCAACCCCCGGCTCGGGGCCCTTGTGGACCCGGCGGGCCTCGCGGGAAGTTCCGCCTGCGCGGGCGCCCGCCGGGGAGGCGTGCCTCGGCGCTTCCGGCGGCGAAGCCGTGGCTCGCGGCTCACGGCCGGAGGAGTGCATGCTCGCGTGGGGAGAAGAAGCCATTGCCGCCGCTAGCGCCATCGTCGCTGCCGTCGTTCGGGGCTCAAGAGACGGGGGCCCAAGAGCGCCGGATCTTGCAGGATCCTGCAAGGCCAGGGTCGCATTGACCCAGGCCTGGGCTCAGGATCCTGCAGGATCTTGCAGGATCCTTCGCATTGACCCAGGCTTGGGTGCAGGAGCTTGCAGGATATTGCAGGATTCTGCAAGGCCTGACTGACCCGGGTCTGGATTGACCCGGGTCAGAAGATCCCCGCGCGGGGAGAAGAAGCCATCGCCGCCGCCAGCGCCAGCGTCGCCGCCGTCGTCGTCATGAGACTGCTTTCCCGGGGGTTCCTGCGGCAGCCCGTGCTATCGAGCTCGCTTGCCCCCCCCCCCTCCCCCCGTTTGCGCAGGTCCGCCGGGGTACGCAGTACTGGTGCGCGCGGGCGGGGGCTGCCCGAAGCGAAAAGGTCAGGTTATCTGCTGGCACCTTCCGCCCCCCAGCGGATGGCCCAGGCGATCGCCGAAAACGTAGATTTACGTCCATCCTTCGGCTAATTACACGTACGAGTGACCTTTCGCCGTGGTGATTTCTGGTGCGGGCGCACTGGGGCCACCGGATGGCTGAATGCAATGCGATAATTAGCAGCGGCTTGTGCGCTCGGGCTCGCACGAGTTGTTCCAGGGAGGGGCGGGGCGGGGGGCCCCATGGGACCCCTCCCACCTCCCCACCCTCTCCCCCTCCTCCGCTCACTCCGAGGAGGACTCCGAAAGATTCGAGGAACCGCTAATTAGAAGCATCAGAAAGACACCCAAAAGGCTCCAACAGTTCGCACTGAACAGCAGAAGACATCGGACAACCTGCCAGAGGATCTCTTCCCCTGGGCCGCCGAAGCCATCCAAACCTCACGGAGCCTCCTAAAGGCATTTTGAGTTTCCCCACTTCTTCCTCCCCCTCTTGTCGTTATCCTCCTCCTCTCCTCCTCCTCCTCCTCCTCCTCCTCCTCCTCCTCCTCCTCCTCCTCCTCCTCCTTACAGATAGCATCGATAACTCCTCGTCTGACCACCAGACGTGTCCGCAGCATGGCGGGCTGGGCGTTTCGCCCAGGATGCTTTTCTCCCCGTTAATGACCCCAGAGCTTGAATTTTCCAACAGTTGCACAGATGGAGGGAACCATGTTCAAACTATGGATCTCGCCTCAGGTTTAACCTTTGCGCCGCGCGCATTTGTAAAAAAAAGGCTTCAACCGTTATGTGGACCCCAAACGGCATGTAATGTATTGCACTGTGGAGGTGAAAGCTGTGCGGTACAAGCGGTGCCGTGTAAGCTGTGTGGTGTTGTGGCGTGAGTTGTGGAGGTGGAAGCAATAATGTGCAAGCTGTTTGGTGCAAGCTACGTTGTGTAAGCCAGGCGGCGTGAACTGGAACAGGGCTGGACCTAAACGCTGTTTTGCTGGACTTCGGCTGTGGCTTGTTTTTCGTTTTGGCAGGGAGGTACAGGAAAATTGGTAGAGCAGAACGAATAACAAAACGAAGCCAAAACGAAAAACAACGTTTGTGTCCAGCACTGAACTGGAGGTGAAAGCTATGTGACGTAAGCTGTGCTGTGCCATCTATCCAGTGTGAGCTATGTGGTGTAGCCTGTGTGGCGAAAGCCATGCTGTGTGAGCTCGGAGCACGGGCCGCCCGCGAGAGGCGCCCACGAGGAGGCTCGCTGCGGCAGCGTGCCGCAGCTTCGGAGAGCGCACCCGGCGCACGAGGCACCCACGAGGCGGCACCGGGCGGTGACGTGGCGCAATTTCGGCACAGCCCCCGTCGCACGGGGCACCCACGAGGCGCTCGCGCGAAGGCACGGGCGGCGGCGTGGAGAGCCTCGGGGCGGACCCCCATCGGCGCACGGGGCGCTTGCCAAGCGCCCACGAGGCGGCACGGGCGTCAGCGTGGCGCCGCTTCAGCATGGCCCCCAGGCGCGGGACGCCCACGAGGCGGCAGGGGCGGCAACCTGGCGAATCTCAGGAATACCCAACCAGTTTAACTGAGAAGTAAGAACCCCTAAGTGGAAGCACAGTATGGGGAACGATCCACGGAAGCGAGGGCGTGCCTTTCAAAGTGAATGTGGCTCTCGCCCCGTCGTCGTGCGCATTCCCTTTCAAAGTTGCCGGCGGTTGTGTGGATGGAGGGGGTCGTTTTCAAATGTGGTTTTCACTTTGGCACCGCGCGCAAATTGTTCTACAAACTTTTCACAGTTGCACTGGTTGAGAGGTGTTATTTTCAGAGTTTGGCTCTCGTGTCAGCGCCACGCATACTCGCTCTAACAGCTTCCAACAGCCACACGGATAGAGGGCGAATGTGGCTCTTGCGTTAGTGCCGCACACATTCGTCTTAAAAGGTTCTTAGCAGTTACCATCATGCAGGGCGGTTGCTTTTCAACATGTGGTTCTCGCCTTAGCGCCGAATGCATTCGTCCCAAAAGCTTCGTTCGTTCGTTTCGGAGCTTACATGTTGAATATCTATGATCAGAACTGTGGAGCAGTTCAGCAGTCACACTGATGGAGGGCGGCTCATTTTCAAATTGGGGCTCTGGCTTGACCATATCTTAGGTTCCAGGGCCAGACGTTTAAACATGCATTACATTTGCACGTATTGAGGGCGGCTCGTTTCCAAAGCGATGTTATCGTTGGAAATGTCCCTGATGTTTACGATTCTACCTTGTGGCCGTCCGTCCAGCTACTAGAAGCATAGGCGGCAGGTCGGTTTCAAAACGAGGCTCTCACACCAATTGCATGACCATTGGGCGATCTTCTTGCATGGCGACTCTTCCCGCAGTGCGAAGGGTTTCCTGCATCGGCCTGTGGGCAGGACTTTTTGGACGGGTGGGCGTGTTGCAGTACCGTTGATGCAATTTGGGTATGCTCTGGTCCTCCTCCTCTTCATCGTCCTCCTCCCCCTCCTCCTCCTACTCCACTGGTCACTGATGCTCCACCTTCTCCTTCCCCTCATCATTCTCCGTTTCTCCTCCTTGCGTGGGAAGTGACTGGCGCAGGCCGCAGAGATGCGCCGGTTCCTCCGCAGCCACAAACACGAGCAGCGCCTGCGCAGCGCCGCGGGCCTGCGAAGCAGCTCCGAGGCTGCAGCGGCGGTCGCGGCGGCCGGGGAGCGCCGTCACTGTCGGCGGCGATGGGGGGAAGAGGAGGAGGAGGAGGAGGAGGAGGAGGAGGAGGAGGAAGAGGAGGAGGAGGGGGAGAAGGAGAAGGAGGAGGAGGAGGAGGAGAAGGAGGAGGAGGAGGAGGGAGATGGTGGGGGAGGGCGGTGGAGGATGGGGGAGCAAGCAGATGAGGAGGAGGAGGAGGAGGGGGAGGACGAGGGGGAGTGGGAGGAGGAGGAGGCGGAGGCGGAAGGACCGCCATGAGGCCTCACACCCTCCGCAGCTCCCATCACAGGGGCCGCGGGGGGCAAATCCCCGCGAACTCTGTTCTCCCATCCCACCAGCACAGGGGGTCATGCGGAGTCCCCGAAGACGGGACGTGGTCGGCACGAGGGGCATCATAGCCGGCTCAAAATCAAAAGAGGCATCATAGCCTCACCATGCGTAGCATGCTCTCCCCCTCGCCGACCTGCCCCTCCCGATCCGCCCCCCCGCTCCCTGACTTCAAGGCTCGCCCTCACGCTTTGCCCGACTGGCCCTCCCGTGCCCTGCTCGTGCGGGACGGGGAGGGACGGTGACACGCGCCCGTTCTGGGAGCAGGAGGCGGCGCGGCGTGGGGCCGAGGACGAGGAGGTGGTTCAATTCGCCCTCGGCTTTCCCTCCGGCGGTGGGTGGCTTGGACGCCTTCCGCCCCCTTCCCTCGGGGGCGGAAAAGAGGGGATGATGATTAGGGGGGGTGGATATCATGGCGGGGGCCATGATATTTCCCCAGATATCATGGCACCTCTTCTTATTTCATTACGTCCCTGGCTCCCAACCTGGGCCGCGCACATGCCGCCGGCCATGATGTGCACCCCCCCTCTTGGACACCCCCCTCTTGGCCGCTCCCGATTCTCGGTTTACCTTGTCTGATGGAGGGGCACGGCAGGGCTCGACCCCGACGGTGTTCTGGCGATTCCGGGGGCATCGTTTTCGTCTCGATGTTCGCTTTGCAGCGGAGGCGGACGGAAGACAAAACAACGGGGAAAAACGAAAGCAATAACGAAAACGAAAAACGCTGCTCAGGTCGATCCCTGGGGGGACCTTGGTATCGCTCGGACGTGTGCACTTTTTCTCGGCGGGGACTATTGAGGAGCATCCTGGATCATCCCGCGAAGCAAAAACCACGCACGAAACCGAAAAAAGCACAGGGCATGGACGTCCGAGCGGTGGCGAGTGGGGGGGCGGGAGGGGCCGTGCTGGGGCGGGGACGGGGACGGGGGGCAGCGACGGCACGCGCGCCCTGCCCAGGGGGGCGGCCCCCCGGGCCGCCCCCTGGGCCGGGGCGGCTCTGCCCCACAGCCCGGTGGCCGCACGGCCGCAGGGGGAGCCCCTTGGCGTCGCTCGGGCGTGTGCACTCTCTTCTCGGCGAGGGCCCTCGAGGGACATCCTGGATCAGCGAGCGGAGAAAAACATCCTGGATCAGCGAGCGTGTGCACTCTCCTCTCGGCTTCGAAGCCGAGAAGCGCACGGGAAATGGACGTCCGAGCGACGGCAAGCCTTGGCGTCGCTCGGACGTGCGCCTGTTCTTCTCGGCGAGGACCATCGAAGAGCAGCTTGGATCATCCTGCGAAGAAGAACACGCACGAAGCCGAGAAACGCACGGGGAATGGACGTCCGAGCGATGGCGAGGAGCGGTGTGTGTGTGTGTGTGTGTGTGCGAAAGATCCGCAGACGACTTATGTATGTGCACCGTGCCCTCCCCTGGCTTGCGCCTTGTCGTCCTCTCCCTTCCCCCCTGCGTGGTGGCTGAGTTCGCCTGACGTTGTCCCGTTGCGCTTCTCTCGCCAGCGCAGTCCCTCTGCCTGGCCGCCGACGCAAAAAAACAGTGTGCCCCGTGCCGCGTTGGCGTCTGCCGAGAGGTCGTGGGCCCTCGGCCCGGGAATGGCACGGTGCATGGTGCTTCGGCCCCCAAGGCCGAACGAACGGCGTACAGTGCCGTTTTTAATACATGCTCCGCGTGCGGATCATGTTTTAAAAATGCAGGGATTTAGCACTAAAAACAACGATGAGTTCATGCATCAATTTAGTCATGTATTGGTCATGTATTAAAAATCCCATGTTAAAAAAAATCCTATGTATTAAGAACTGCCCTGTACGGTACCGCATTGGAATGGGGCCTGAACGGAGTCCAGAGCTGGCGGTGCGTGGGCGCCGTTCTCGTAAAACGAGCAGCGGGAGAAGAGGGCGGCCGCGGGCAGAGCGTGCGCCAACACGGACGGGCCGAGATGGCCCCTGCCTCCCTCTCCGGGGGGCGGGTGCCACTGCCCGGGCCCCACCACGCACGGAAGTTCGACCTGCCCCCCTCCTCTCTCACATCTTCTTCCTCCCTCTGCTCGCCTCCTTACGCTTGCCGCGTGCACTGCCCGCCGCCCGCCCAACCTCTTCGCCCGCCCGCCACGCGCCGCCACGTGACGCCGCCCACCTCCGCCCACCTCCCTCGGAGCCTCTCTGGTCGAGGATCGGAGGGCGGTGGGCCTGCCCAGGGGCGAGGACGCGCCGAGGTGGGCACCTCCGGGCCACCCACCACCACCACGCGCGCACCGAGAGCGCCCACTTGCGCTCGGACCCCTCACTCGGCCTTCTCTCGCTGGGCTGCCTCCCTCCGCCCCAACTTCAAGCACGCGTTGCAGCCGGCTCCCGGGAGTGTGGCCGGGCCGCCGCCGGCACCCGCTTCGCACACAGGCGATGGCAGCGGCCACAGCTTCCTCTTCTCACCGAGCGCGTTCCACTACTCGCAGAGTGCCTACTCGCAAACGCCCGAAAACACACATGTCTGCTTCGATGCAGTTTATCGTAGATCTCCCGCGGGTGGACCCAGGCCATTTGCGAGTAGTTACTTTGCGAGTAGTGGAACGCGCTCGTCTATCTTCACCTCCTCCGACACGTATTAGACCCATCAGTCGTTAGGTCGCCCCTTTCTCCCCTCCTACTTCTGTATTGGCCTTGTTACT